TGAATGAGATTTTTGTATGTGTGGGCTCGAGGTTAAGATTTATAGCTTCTTATCGTGGTCTAAGCACAGAGATTCACTGCTAGCACTGCTAGAGAGCTGTATATCGTACATGACGACGTCGTATGGAAAATGCTGAAATGAGACACAGATTCGGACTGCTATTCAACTGATTCTGAATGTGGCGTGGAAGGTTGGTCTTCTGATGCCTGAAATTGAGAAAGAGCTGTTCAATGACACAGATTATGATAGGGGCGAGCAAAGTTGGAATTCTGATTCCGCGGACGACGGGTCATCACCTTCGTCGGCAACTTGGGGACCGCCAGACCAGTGTGGCTGGAGAGGTGTGAATAATTATTCCGGTGTAGCTGCGGGGATAAATATCATTGCAGCTCGACATCACTGGCCTGCTTCCTCTAAATCGCAACTGAGGTGTCGTGTGTGCTTTTCGCGTGGGAAGCGGTCTAGCGTTCGTACGAAGTGCGTGAGCTGCGACGTCGGACTCTGCATTTCGGAATTTTTTCGGCAGTACCATACGAAGGCCACATTACCATAGATGACGCAGGGGGGAAGGCTGTTTCCTCATGAAGATGGTGAACATATATCACGTAAGTAGAGCAAAAATTTAATTTTAAAAAAATCTTTACACGCGTGCAATGCGCGAAATCATATGAGGTCGTTCGGCCATATGACGTCGGTAGATTACATTAGATCACGCAGGAGGGAAGGCTGTCACCTTATAAAGGTTGTGACCAAAAATTATGTAAATAGAAGAACAATTTATATTTTAAATTTAATTTTAAAAAAATCTTTACACGCGTGGAATGCGCGACATCATATGATGTCGTTCTTAAATTTGTCCTTACTTTTAACGTCATATGACGTCCCTAGATTACATTAGATCATGCAGGAACGAAGGCTGTCTCCTTATAAAGGTGGTGACCAAAAATCATGTAAATAGAACAACAATTTATATTTTTAATATAATATTAAAAAAAACCTTACACGCGTGGAATCCGCGACATCATATGATGACGTTCGGCCAGCTGCCCTAACTTTTAACGACATCATATGATGACGTTCGTCCGATAAAGGTTAACTTGTTTTGATAACAATAGCAATTTTATTTTCAAACCTGTATTGCATACTTATATAAACCCTGCATAAACAGGTATTTCCCTTAAGAATCTGTCAATCAGGAATGCTAAGTCAGTTTTACAATTTTTGTCTTTCAGTTGTGGAAACATTATTATCTTTGAAAATTTTGTTAGGAGATTTCAGTGCCAAAGTAGGGAGGGATGACATTTTCAAACCAACAATTGGGAATGAGAGTTTGCATGAAATTAGTAATGATAATGGAGTTAGAGTAGTAAACTTTGCCACATAAAAAAATCTTAATGTCAAAAGTACAATGTTCCCGCACCGTAACATCCATAAATTTATTTGGACATCTCCTGATGGGAAGATACCCAATCAAATAGACCATATTTTGATAAATAGGAGATGGCATTGATGTCCAATGGTTCAGGGCAGCAGATTGTGATACTGACCACTACCTGGTGGTGGCAAAGGTTAGGGAAAGACTGGCAGTGTGCAAACAAACAACACACAGAATTCATATGGAGACGTTCAATCTCAAGAAATTAAATGAAGTAGAGGGTAAAGAGCAGTATCGTGTTGAAATCTCAAATAGGTTTGCGGCCTTGGAAAACTTGGACACTGAGGTGGATGTTAATAAAACTTGGGAAACTATTAGAGAGAATATAAAAATGTCTGCCAACGAGAGTCTAGGTTATTATGAACCAAAGAAGCATAAGCCATGGTTCGATGAAGGATGGTCAAAATTATTAGATCAAAGAAAGCAGGCCAAATTGCAATGGTTACAGGATCCAAGCGAGTTAAATGGGGATAATCTGAACAATATAAGACATGAAACCAACAGGCATTTCAGGAACAAAAAGAACGAATATCTGAAAGACAAAATTGATGAGCTTGAAATGAACAGTAAGAAGAAGAATATTAGAGACCTGTATAGAGGAATAAATGACTTTAAGAGGGGTTACCAGCCTAGCAGTAACTTAGTGAAGGATGAGAATGGTGATCTGCTTGCAGATTTCCACAACATTTTGGATAGGTGTAAGAACAACTTCTCTCAGTTATTGAATGTACATAGGGTCAGTGATGTTAGGCAGACAGAAATCCATACAGCTGAGCCATTAATACCTGATCTTAGCACTTTTGAGGTTGAAAGTGCTATTGCAAAATTGAAACCATATAAATCCCAGGTAGTGATTAAATTCCGGCAGAACTAATTCAAGCAGAAGGCGAAATATTACGTTATAAGATCAATAAGCTAATTACTTCTATTTGGAATGAGGAAAAATTGCCTGATCAGTGGAAGGAGTCTTCTTGTACCACTTCACAAGAAGGGTTATAAAACTGACTCTAGTAATTATCGGGGGATATCACTGTTATCAACTTCATATAAAATTTTGTCCAATATTCTTCTTTCAAGGTTAAGTCCATATACGTATAGATGAAATTATTGGGGATCATCAGTGTGGGTTTCGACATAACAGATCAAATCTTTTGCATTTGTCAGATATTGGAGAAAAAATGGGGAGTACAATGAGACAGTACATCAGCTATTCATAGACTTCAAGAAAGCCTACAATTCAGTTAAGAGGGAACTATTATACAATATTCTAATAGAGTTTGGGATACCATGAAACTAGTTAGGCTGATTAAAATATGTTTAAACAAATCGTATAGTAAAGTCCATATAGGTAAACATTTGTCTGATAAATTTCCTATCCAGAATGGTCTAAAACAAGGAGATGCTTTATCGCCACTCCTTTGATTGATTGATTGATTGATTGATTGATTGATTTAACATCCATAACTGTTACATTATGTACAATTGGACAAGTCAGTTTTTAAAAAAATATATGAGATTAAACATCACATCAAATGACTAATAATATAAAAAACCATAGAAAAATAACATAATAAGTCCTTTAAATATGATAAAACAGTGGATGAGTATACTAAGGCAACAAAAGCTAAACTATAAATTACAACTCCTTTACAATTACAATTACAATTCCTTTTCAACTTTGCCTTAGAATATGCAATTAGAAAGGTCCAGGAAAACCAGGTGGGACTGAAATTAAACGGGACACATCAGCTGTTGGTCTATGACGATGATGTGAATCTGCTGGGTGATAATGTAGATACCATAAAGAAAAACACACAAACTTTAATTGATGCAAGTAAAGAAGTTGGTCTAGAAGTAAACACGGAGTAAACTAAGTATATGTTACTGTCTCATCACCAAAATGCAGGACAAAATCATGACATAAAGATAGGAAACAGATGTTTTGAAAATGTGGCACAATTCAGATATTTGGAACAATGATAACAGATCGAAACTTGATTCAGGAGGAAATTAAGAGGCAATTGAACTCGGGTAATGCTTGCTACCATTCAGTCCAGAACCTTTTGTCTTCTTGCCTGTTGTCCGAAAACATAAAAATTAGATTATACAAAACTATAATTTTGCCTGTGGTTCTGTATGGGTGTGAAACTTGGTCTCTGACATTAAGGGAGGAACATAGACTGAGGGTGTTTGAGAACAGGGTGTTGAGGAGAATATTTGGACCAAAGAGAGATGAAGTGACAGGAGGTTGGAGAAAACTGTATAATGAGGAGCTTCATAACTTGTACTCTTCTCCAAGTATAATTAGAATGATCATGTCAAGGAGGATGAGATGGGCAGGTCATGGAGCACTAATGGGGGAGACGAGGAATGCGTATAGGATATTGGTGGGAAAGCCAGAAGGAAAAAGACCACAGGGAAGACCAAGGCGTAGGTGGGTGGGCAATATTAGAATGGATCTCAGAGAGATAGGATGGGATGGTATGGATTGGATAGATCCGGCTCAGGGACCAGTGGAGGGCTCTTGTGAACGCAGTGATGAACCTTCAGTTTCCATAAAATGTTGGGGAAATTCTTAAGTAGCTGCAGAATTGGCGGCTCCTCCAGAAGGGCTCAGCTCCATGAGTAAGTAAGTAAGTCTCACAGTCTCTCAAGGGCTTTATCTAAACTCAGCTCCTTCACGCTGGAGTTACACGGTACATCAGTATGCTTGACATCCATAGTTTGACCATAGTAGGGTGTGTTTTGTGTGTGGTTCAAACCTCTTTTTCGTATGAAATTCACAAGCTTCACAACTAATGCTTTTCATATGATTCATATTTACAGTTCTTCACAGTACCTCCTGGTGAATAATACTCATACGTTGAGAAACAGTATTTCCAAATTAAGACACATTTCAATTTTGGTATGTTACATTCTTTTGAAAAGGCCTCGAATTGTACCTGTCAAATTTGTAATCCCTCAGAGGGCACACCGATTAATTTGGCCCATCATAGTGTGTCAATCAAGATTTGTTAATAGTCTTTCACACAGAATCTCTCCAGTTATTGTGCCTCTCATAGTATCCATGTGAAGTAATTCTATAATGACATCAAACTTATCTTTAATATGTCATATGAATATCAGCATTTGAGATTCCATTTGCATAAGTATCATCCAGTGCTTTAGAGAAGTATTTGCACTGTATTGTTTAACCATTTAACCATATCAGCATATCACTATTTATTTCTTCCACATAATGTACAGCCATTCCTCTGGATAGACTTATATTTCCAGTTTCTGTTTTGTTCTCCGGACATGCTGATTCAGATACATCCACCATATTCTTTCAAAGGTATATTGTCTGAAAACAGCTTATTGTGTTTGACTATATGTTAAATGCTACTTAGAGACCCACTCAAGTTGATGCTTGGCTGCTACTTCTTTTGGGTTGTAAAAACACTTCCTTTTTTAAATTCGGTGCCATGTTTCTAACTTCCTTTATGCTCGCATCTGAAGATAAATTGACACAGTATACTTAAAATTTCTAAGTGAAGTGAAATTAAGTTAACTGAAATGTTGGACTTCATTTTCTTCAGTATCTGGCTGATTATTTCTTGAAGCAACTGAAGATGGAGCAGTGTTCATTCCCTGTCTCTTATATTAGATACTGAACACTGTAGTGGTGTAAAATGCAAGAAAATATTCAAGGGAATCGCTGATGGGAAAAAGTTCCACTTTCTCTTATGTCAAATGAACTGAGATAACACTGCTGTAATTGCCACTACACTGAGTTTCTAATTGGTTCTTTAAATAATTATTCTTCATTTCCATTTATGGGTTTTGTATTAATAAATAGTTATTGTTATTTATGACCTTCCTCTGTCCTTGTCTACATAGAAAGAACAAATTACCCTGTCATCAACCATGTTATCAGAAAGCCCTTTCTTTGCTTACACAGAGTTACTGTCATTTTGGAAATCTTGTATGGTGAGATTCTTTTGTTTCGATACTTATGAGTATATTTTAATGGTGCCCAAACCTGATCACATCTTCATTTCTATGGAAATGGCATTGGAATATTAAGCTAAAAATTACAGCTAAGACAACACAGCCTTCTTTTCTCTCTTTTAGTATATTTTTTTTTATTTCCAATAAATTTGTCTATTGAAAGATACCCTTCACTCTTACATGCAGTTTGTACAAAATCTGCAGATGCTGAAAGATGAAACAATTACTCTACAAATTTTGCGCAGGTTCCACTAGGTGTGGGTGTAGCATTTGCAGCCAAGTACTCTGGAACTGATGGTGTCTGCTTGGCACTTTATGGTGATGGAGCTGCCAACCAGGGTCAGATATTTGAAGTATACAACATTGCCAAGCTGTGGGATATCCCATGTATCTTTGTTTGTGAAAATAATGGTTATGGAATGGGCACCAGTGCTGAAAGAGGATCAGCTAGCACAGCTTTCTACACAAGAGGGGATTACATTCCTGGCATCTGGGTAAGGTTTTGGAGTGAAGTCTCTGCAATAATCACTTGTCCAGTGTTGGATTTCTCACACATCACATTACACTGCATAATTCCACAAAGATCTATACAAAATCTAATAAGTGTGCAAAAACTAGAGTGCATGAATTATACAGGATTTAAGAAAGTGTTCATTCTGAAAAATATCATTTACTTGATCAATCTATAAATGTTTAAACTCTGAAAATCTAGGAGGGCCATATATGGCGTCAACTGATAATAGAAGTTGGCTAAGTTTTTCATTTAATCCTATCATATATTTATTAAAATTGTAACATTCTTTTGCATTTTTAAAATGAAGTACAGATTGGTTTTCTACAGAATAAGGTACGATCATACAGCTATTTTTTAATTCCAGTTACCACATTCTTCTGGCACTGCACAGTGGCTCATTCATCACTTTCACATGTCACAACACATGCAATGTCTAGCAAATAACAGGGAAGACTTCTTACCAAACCACACTGAACCCAATGTCATCCCAATTGCTTCTTAATGTGTTTGTTTAAATATAAGAATGAATCATAATGTGACATGTTTATGAGTTACTGTAGATAGGGTTTGGTTTGATAATTGGATTTATCAAACACTTATACACACAACTCGTAACTACAAGTAACCGTAGCACTATAGCTAATTCACACATTCTGCAGTTCACTTCAGCATGTAATGAGTCTTCTTAGTCTGCTGTGTCATCACCAGTCATTGCCTGGTAATGGCTTGCAGCAGCAGATGTTTCGCTTCCTCTGGGTTCCCAAACTGTCCCCGTGCCTCAGCTACCAGCTTCACCGCAGCAGCTCACAATCCTTGCTTCAACTGTTGACTCTCAACTAACTAGGTTACTCACCAACCAACTCACTTCACTCCACCATGCTAGCTCCACCACACTGCATTTCCCTAACTGAACTCAACTTGGTCAGTTGAGTGATATAGCCTCAAAGCAGATCTATAGAAAACACCTGTCACGTATAGCTTACCAACTGATGTGTAGCAATGGCTTCTCATTTATTTGTTGTTTTTTTTTTTGCGGTCATTGTATAGCAACAGGTCTATAATGCCACAATATCGAATGTAGAGATTAATCCTTATTTCCTCGTGTATGTGGTATATATGAGAAAGTGGAAGAATTTGTCTCAATATTTTGTTGAATTTACACATTTCAAGTCCAACTGAACATGAATTTTTTTCTTGTCATGGTGCCTGTCTGACTATGTATGTATGTATGTATGTATGGTTGTATATTTGAATTTGTGCTTCCCCAGTGCTTGAATGGTTGGACAGATTTTGTTTAATATATTCGGTATTCAAGAGATTATCCATCATAGTTCAGTGCCTAGGTAATATGACCATCCCATCTCCAGATGGGCCTAAAAAAGAAGATGGGGATTTTCCTGAAATAACAAGTTTAATTAAATTTCAGTAATTTTTGGAGACCATATACTTACATAAAACTGCAAAGATAGTATCCTCAGGAAAAGAATGGTACATGCACTATGGGTTCAAATGCAAAATGTCAATTTTGTTAAAAGTGTCTTCACTGGTCAGGTTGATTTCACTCTTTTTCAGCATTCTGTAACCAAAACTGTGCAACAACTGATTGCATTTACAGAGTAATTTAGATAAGATGAGTCATATATCAAGCAGTATCTGCAGCATGTATGCACAGATTTCTTTTAATGTGATGTCTTGGATTATGCAGTGAAATTCTATTATCAAAAATGTTTGTGTCACTTTTATTTGTTGTACACAGTGAGCCAGTAGTCACTGTGTACCTACAATACAAACAATAAAACCTCTTCATTCTTAGTAGTGATTTTTGTACATTGGTGCAGCAGACAGGTATCCAGTTTGGCAGCACCTGTAGAATGCTGCAGAAATATTTGCACCTGCAGCCCTACAAGATAAGATCAGGACTTGAATTTAAAGGGATAACAAGCATGTTAAATATTTCCAGTGGTTTACAGATGATATTCCAGACATCACATTTTTGCCATTGAGTTCTGCTTTCATTTATCTGGTTATGTCAGCAGCCAACACAGCCATATTTATCAAGCAACTAATCTGAATGCGATTAAGGACACATATTACATGACCTCAAGGCTAGTGTGTGGTATGTCATATCACAAAATCGGATAATTGGCCCCATATTCTTCCATGACACTGTCAACTTGGAATATTATTGTGAAGTGATTCTTTACCATTTCATTGAACATTTCAATGAGGATGAAATGCCTACAGCTATTTCCAACAACAAGGTGCTGCTGCACACATAGCTCGTGTTTCTGTGATGCTACTGTGCAGTGTGTTCAGGGACAGAATGACTTCAAAGGGCATCTGGCAACCAAGGCTGCCTAGTCGTACACCCCCCTGCTTTTTATATATGGGAAGCAATGAAAGGCACAGTTTACACAGACAACCCTCACACCCTCTTGAACTGAAAGAAGTCATCGCACATTTCATCATGAGCATGCCTCTTGTTGGGTTGTCATGTGTCTTTGTAAACAAGATTAGATCTGTAGATGTGTGTTGTAACTTAAGTAAGTATGAGAAACTTAGTTGTAATAATGTACAGGGATTCTCTGAATATACTTATCATCTATGGTAGGTGTACAAGAACTTCTGGCTCACCTGCATATGCAAATTCTACTTACCACTTTCAACTCTTTAAAGAATAAACAACTTTGCTTATACAGAGAGTAGCATGGGATAGAGGTCCTGATGAAATGCTGAATATAGTGCTGAAATTTACTACTACAAGATGTCTAGGGAGAAAGTGGCTTAACTGGGGAACTTATTAATCAAGTAATTTTGAATAAAAAATATCATATGAGCATGTTTCCTATTCACTACAGTAAAGGAGTTGCCATTGTTTTCATTATGAAAATCAGCCTTCGATGTCTGCTGAGACCTATCTGGAACAATCTAGAATGAGGAAGGGGGTCTCAGCCTCAAACTAAAGGTGCGGGCAACACACAAATCCCACTGTGCTGAGCTCTCATGGCACTACTATGTGGAAATTATCCAACTGTGGGTTCTGCAGAATGAGTTTGTCTGTATTCTGCAAGTCCTTTTTATATAATAATTTTCTGGTTTGGTTTATCTGTTGTAAGGCTCTTATTGGCATATACAGATACAGGCATTCCTATTCAGATTTTAATCATCTGTACTTGCTGGCTCTGTTTCTTTTCCGCTCTTCTTTTGTCAAAGCTTTTAATGGTCAAAAAATTCAATCTTTGTAATATCTATAGCTGTTCCTTCTTTGATCTTAGTTCATCATTTTCAGCTTGAATTTTAAATTGGGCTCTGATTTTATGGAGTATGTGCGGCCATATGTGTAAGGTCTCATCTACATCCGTAGGTGATGTACATCTTACTTTAGCTATATATCTTGATTTGTATTCCTTCTGTTGTGAATTAGAGACTAGCTCTATCTATTGGGCAGAACAGAATATGCTTTTATACCTGAGGACAGAGTCAGAATCCAATCCTTGCAATGTTGTCTCAGATAAAATTAGGATGTTGGATGTCTAAAAAATGTACAATTGTAGAAACTTGTAGAAGTTTACCTTATGTCCATATTTGCAAAACATCATTTTAGTTGTAAGAATATAAAGCAAGATAAATCGATTTTAGAGGCCTGGTAATAATACCATGCTTGTTGAAGAAACATGCAAAATGTCAAGGGAACTTACATCCTTCATCTGTTATGAAAATGGTGACATGTGGTGAAATGTCCCAAGTTTCTTCAATATATGACACTCTGATACTCTCCAAAAAGCAGAAAGAACACTTTCACTGTCAGTAAAAGAATGGTTATGCATTACAATTTGCTCATGTGACTGTCAGCATTTAGATACTGTATTCATATAGTGTTCCTATTTTGTTTCTGTCTTTGTAAATCATTCGTGCAGTTTCTCTTCCGTCTTAATGCAACACACTTTTTATTTTAGATGACACTAAACTTACATTCAACATACTAAAATGTCAGTTAAAATGACAAAGAACACCAAATCAATACAAGATTCACATGACCAGGGTAGCGGCCCACTCAGAGGGCCACAGAGAAGCCACAGTAATAAAATAGAAATAGAACAAACATTCTCAAAATAAAAAATTGAGAATGACAACGTACTCTATGAGTACTATTAACATAAGCAAGCACAGTGCAGTAGATTCCATCAAAATGTGTTGCCTAAAGATGGCACTGTGAGGGCAGAACATGTAACCAGATGAACCACCTACGGATGTAGATGAGACCCCACTAGCAATAAAAAAAAAATGGGGTGGAAATAATGAAAGTAATTAAATTTTTAAATTGTAAAAGAAGGCCCTTGGAATAATTAGTGGTGTCAGTTTTCCTACATCATGTAGACAAATATTTAAAGAATATATTAACACTGTCTTCTCTGTATATATTAGAAATGTTATTTTTATTAAAAAATATATAAATTCTATGGTAAAAAATATGGTTATCCATAATCATAAAATGCAAAAAAAAAAATTTAATTTACTTATACAGCATTGTAATACAGTCCTCTTTAAGAAAATTGTAATAAATATGAGTATTAGTTTGTACACTAAAGTTCCAAATCAGATAAAAATAAGGGAAAATTTAAATTTATTTAAAAAGGACTTAAAATTCTTTCTGCTGAATCACTCTTTTTACTCTGTTGAGGAATTTATGTCATTTAAAATATTTTAATATATGTGAAATTATAAACATTTTGTATTCACTTAATTTTTATAACTTTGGATACAGTGCTTATACTGGTAATAGAAATTTTGTATGCAGGTTTGTTGTATTGTATCTCATTTCTATAGTTGTATATAGTATGGTGTGACATGTACACAATTTCTGTATGTAGTCATGTATTATAGTACTGGTGACTTGTAAAGGTAAAGCTGTCCCTGTGCTTAACTAATTAAGCACTATGCCATGAAGACATATGGGGAGGTGGATGAATAGATCCACATTTTCTTAACCTTGGCACTGGCTGCAAGTCAGTGGTCAGCTTCATGCCCCTGCCACTTTACTCCCAGAAAAAAAAGCCACCGGTACCCATTGGATATGAGGCTGAGTAGGCCCCAGAGCCAGTCTGGACAATGTGGAGAAAGGAAAATTCTTGACTCTAACAGGACTTGGATTCTGACCCCTCAGTCATCCAGGATGTAGTCAGTTGCTATACCAACTATGCTATCCCAGCTCCCTTGGTGACTTATATAAGATAAAATTTCACTTAGTCTATATCTGGAGCCTGTATCACCAAATATGGATTTCTGGAACAAATAAAGATATGAATATGAATATGAATATAAATACTTAAGGAATACGTACAGCAATAATGCATGATTCATTTTGTGTTACATAACTGTTCCATCCGCAAGTAAATATTGAAAATTTCAGCCATATTAAGTGGGTTGCTTGTCACCACAGCATGATGTGTCCTCAGGTTATGGGTGGAGGACACAGCTTCCAGATGTGGATACCAGCTGTGAATATACTGAATATGCAGTCATGGAGGGTCTAAATGGGTGGTCCTCAATGTTTGGATCGTGTAAGGGTGTAAAGAATTCCTTGAAAATCAGCATGTTAAGGAATGTTACACAGGACAATGTTAGAATGAAATAGGTATAGCATATAACATCCATGGGAGAGAGAGAAAGAATGTGTACAAAATTCTGGCCTGAAAGCCTGATGGAGACAGACCACATGGAGGATTTACACATAGATGGGGATAACATTAAAATGAATCATACTGAGTTTGGGTGGGAGGCTATGGGTTGGATTAATGTGACTCAGGACAATCTGTTAGTAGGCCTTTGTGAGGCCATGAAGAACCTTTGGATTACATAAATGCAGGGCATTTTTTGAGTAGCTAAGGGACCATATGCTTCTCAAATGGACTCTGCTCCATGGAGTTGATTCATTGCCCTCAGTTCTGGTACCTTATTTGTAATGTTCATCAAGCTTACACTTATTACATGTATTAAATGAAAATAAATTAAAATTCTGTTAAGAATCATCTTTAAGGAAAATTTTGAAAGTGTTGGAGTTTAGAAGTTTTAGGGTTTCCACAACTGAAATAAAATCATAGCATACACATGAAAAACCTGCTACTGTTTATTCTTCAATTATAGGTAGATGGAATGGACATACTGGCTGTCCGAGAGGCCACACAGTTTGCAATCAACCATTGCATTAGTGGTAAGGGTCCCTTGGTCATGGAGACAATGACCTACCGTTATAGCGGACATTCCATGTCTGATCCTGGCACAAGCTACAGAACAAGGGAAGAAGTTCAGGACGTGAGACAAACTCGAGATCCCATTACTTCATTCAAGGAGAAGATTCTTACAGCTGGACTTGTGACAGCTGATGAACTGAAGGTTAGACTGATCTAGAGAAACAATATATCGCAAGATGTTTGCATGTCCCATAGGTTTTACCAGATTTTGGATTTTGATTGGTGTTAGTGTTCTATGATAAGCTTATTTAAGAACGTAAACAGTGAACTGTACAAAACTATAATTTTACATAGTTTTGAATAAACATGAAGCTTGAACTGTAATATTAAGGGAAGAGCATAGATTGAGGTTAAAATGTACTATTTTATGGGACGTTACACCATGTAGCCTAGCAGAAGTTTGAGAAACACATTCCCTCCATTCTCACGGCTGAAGAGCAAATCAAGCAAACAACCAGTGTAAAGGTGTCACCTTACTCTGCTTGATTTTTGCTTGGCTTATTCTTGAATCCTGTAAATGTGGCACTATATTCCTCTAAAACACTGGTAAACTTCTACCAGACTACATTGCATAATATCTCAGAAGCCAGTACTCTTTATTGTCCCCACAGTAAGAACCTCGAATCTCACATAGATTGAAGGTATTCAGAAATATTCTTCTGGGGAGAATATTTGGACCTGTGAAAGAGAAAGTGAAAGGAAGATGGAGAAAACAGCAAAATGAGGAACATAATTTGCACTTTTCATCATATTGTGACATGATGCCTGAAAGCTGGAACAGTGGAGTCAGATTGGAATTTGATTTCCTGGGCAATGAGCATTAACAGAGCACATTCCCCTGATGGCAGGTCACAATAGGATTATTGTATATGCACTTCTGTGAAAACATTCAAGTAGGCATATAGGTTACTACAGAACTGGTAGTGTTTCCATGGTAATACGTGCTTAAGCTGACAGTTATTGAAGATATGAAATAGGGAACTCTTCAAGGAGGTGTTTCCTATCCCAGCTGCTGAAAGTTATCAAATGGATACCAATTTGACCAGAACAGAGAACAGGAGACTACCACAGAACTGGACTTGGCTTCATAAAGACTTGAATCACAGAGTATCCAGTAGTTGAAGTGTCAGAGATGTTTGTTCATGTGTGTAATTGTAAGAGAACACCAATAAATCCCATCATCCCATCTAGAAGCCATTATTTTCATCATGTGTACCCCCCTACATGTGGCAATATATTAAGTTGAGGCACATGGTATGGCAGTTCATGTAGTAAAGTTATGAGATTCCCTAGGTCATACAAATTAAATAAGAACTCATTACATCAGTAAATGTAGCTCATTTATTCCACTGAAGCATCATTATTTTTTAGCACAATCCCTGAGCATATTAATGCATTTGTCCCATCTTGGCACGAGTTAAAAAATTCCATCGAAATATAAATTGGGCTCTTGCATTTGCAGTCATTCACCAATCACCATGTCCACTTCTTTACTGTTTTGGAATCAACAGCATCTCAAGTGCTGCCATTTGTTGCATGTTGTCTCTACCCCTATCCCTACCAAGTGCCTCCCCTATTAAAAAACAAAATGCTTGATTAACACATACATTGCTGGCTATAGAACTCTTCCTTGTAGCACAAATTTGATAAATGAGAAATACATACAAAGTTTTGGTTAAATAATATGAAGAAAAGAAGCCACTTGGAAGGCAATAATTTAGATAGGAAGACATTAATAAAATGGATCTGTGGCTGAGAAAGTGTGGACTAGTCACTTGACTCAGGATAGGCTGTTGGCAATCTCTTGTGCATACAATAAAGAGCCTTTGAATTCCCTGTAAGGGGAGGAATTTATTGTGTAGCTGAGCGACTGTTAGCTTTTCAAGAAGGTCTTTGCTCCATGAAGTTATTTGTTTTTTATTTTATTGCTAGTAGGGTGGGACTGAGTCCCTTGTACTGCTGCCACTTCTGGCCTATTGTACCAGCCCCAGATGATAGGTGAGGGTGATTGTGGAGCAATTGGTGGAATGAAGATTGGCAGGGGAAACCGGAGTACTTGGAGAAAACCTGCCCCAGTGCCACTTTGTCCACCACAAATGCCACTTGACCAGACCCGGGATTGAACCCGGGCTGCCGCGGTGGGAAGCCAGCAACTAACCACTTGAGCTATGGCGCGACCTCCATGAAGTTAGTTTAAGGAATATGAAGAGTTCTATATTTTTGAATATGTGTCCATAACAGTTTTCTTCTTGTTCAGATGATAAGTAATGCAATTTCAAATGCTCTGTTTCCAGAAACTGGAAAATGATATTCGAGTAACAATAGATGAGGCTGTGAAGAAGGCAAAGACAGATAATGAGATTGGTTTGGATGAACTCCCTTGCGATGTCTACTCTGCCCCTCTGGAACCAACTGTCAGAGGCATCACACCGTGGAACAACTTGGAACATAAGAGACTTGGACCTGCTGTGAACCTGCATTAGCATAAGTTTTTTTATAAGTAGTTTATGTTAGATAATGCAATGTTTGGAACAGAATGATAATAAAGGATTCGCTATCCTTATCAAGTATAAATCATACTGATTTCTGACTCTCCAAAATATATAATTTGATTTACTCTAAAAATTAGGCATGGAAACAGGAAAGGTACCAGAATAATGCAACCACAGACATCAATGATCCACCATACCTGGCCAAACTAGTTTGAGCATTAGGATATAGGCAGCAGAAGAGGTAAGTAGTAAGAAAAGTATTACTTATACATGAACTAAAATATACAGCAGTGTGCCAAGAACCTAAGTAACACAAATTCTCACGTGGCACCAAGTGACTATCAACAGCTAACCACTCCATACATTTATCAACATATAGATGGGGGCTCCTATGAACACTGTTGAGAGTACCACATCAGACCTGCCATTCCAGAAAGCAGAAAAGGAAATCACTGTTCTCAGGTTATTTAGTGGAGTGGTTTAGTTTACAGCAATACCAACAGTGAAGGACATGATAGTTCACTGCTAGTAATGAATGTACCCTGATTTATTCTAGAACATGAGCTGTTATAGTTCAACACTGAAACTGTAATAATACAATTTAGAACAAAACTTGTAATTTAGATTCACTAGTTTCCCAGACTTGCAGCATCATCTGATGTTTCAAGATGAACACAGCATTCTGTGAGGTAGGTGGGTCAACTCCCTTCTTTGGGTGGGGGTTCCTACACAGCTGTGCCTTCTTGGAAAGAGCCAGTCCCAATAATTTGAAAGGTGAAGACAAGAAGATAAAACTATGAAGCCACTCAGTTTTGTCAACAAGGAAATGTAAAATTTAAACTGTGACAACTTTTGTGAAGACTTAAAACAAGACCAACTAGAAAACTAAAATGTATGCCATCAGAAGCATAAGCCAGAAAGTATATCAAATCACACTATAACTCATGAGTTATATTAATTTCTCCATCCTGTTCTGCATAATGAAACTGAGGTATTCTGGAGACAATTGACACAACAGCTTATTAACAAAACTAATACTCATACTGATAAAGCTTTAATATTCAGTTTTTTATGTACCATCGAAGAACTGGGATAAATTAATTAGTATAGCAATGGTCTATGGACTGGACACCCAGGTTTCAGTTTTGATAGGGGAAAGAGATTTTTCTCTTCTCCACAGCATCCAGACCAGCTCTGGAGGCCAACCAGCCTTCTCTAAGATGGGTGCCAGGGGCATTTTCCCAGATGATAAAGTGACTTGGACATGATGCTGACTATTCGCTTCCATCTAGTTCCAAGGTCAAGAATGGCAGAGCTATACCTCCACTCCCCTACATGTCTCCATGGGATGGTGAAAAAGGTAAAGCTAACCCCGTAACAGACTGTAGAGACCCATAGGTTTGTAAGATGTCGAGGCTCCCACATATTCTAGACAGTTGGCTCACAGATTACGGTAAGGTTGTCACCCTTATGTGCCAGCCGCCCTTTAACCCCAGGAAGATTCCTGATACTCATTTCTGTTAGAGGTTGAGTGAACCCCAGGGCCATAATGTGGCTGGAAGGATTAGGTCAACTGAAAAAAAACCCTGTGACCTCATCAGTAATCAAACCTGTGACCTTCTGTCTTGTAGTGTAGTGCCTCAACCAACTATGCTATTGCATTGCCCCCTTGCTTAATTAATTGAGAACAGAGAAAACTTTACTTTTCATGTACTATCCATTATATATTTAGATCACAACAGATCATCCTAAGGTGGTAATTCATAAATATATAAGGTATGTCATCATTGAACTGTCAAGTTGCAATGGATAGATTTTTACAATTATGTATTTTATGTTAGAACAAAATAAATAAAAGAAGTGAATAGTGGGGTTTTAGTAGATGCTCTAAATAGGGGTACTTATGCATTGTAATATTTATAAAGTGGTGAAAGGTACGTGACTAGGGAAGAGGGTGTATCTAGATATATATTTTCTTGTTGCATTGCTGTATCCTGTTCTTGCAAGCATCTATTTAAGTGTCATATGTACAAGGTGTGGCAATAAAGAAACCGGATTCATGCTCTAACCCTTTATTAAAAAAAAATCAGACAGTCGAAATGTTATCCCCTTCAATGTAGTCCCCTCCCCGATCCCTACACCGCTCCATGCGAATTTTCCACTGTTGGAAGCAGTGCTGCAGGTCATCTTGTGTTATGCTCTTCAAGAGTTGCGTCGCTTTTGCTTTCACTGCATCCACGGACTCGAACCTGGTCCCTTTCAGCGCAGACTTGATTTTTGGGAAGAGAAAAAAGTCGCACGGTGCTAGGTCCGGAGAATACGGTGGATGTTCCATCACTGGAATGTTGTTTTTTGCCAAATACCTCTTCACAGATAGCGCGTTGT